TGCGAATCCCCCAATGCCTGGCCCAGCGCCCCGATTGGGTCTCCCAATGTCTGTGTGTGCCCGTTCCCTCCTCGTCTGTCCGTGATTCTCCCTTTGTTTTCCCTCCACCTCAGGCCGCTCTTTTTGCCTCCCCCCGCGTGTGCCTCTTGCTCAGGGCCTCAGTTTCCCATCGGGACAACGGAGAAGGTAACGGGCCGTCCGGGAGGGCTAAGGGCGCGAAGCCACCTCCGCCCCAAGACTGAGCTTCTGCACGCCTTCGTCTCCAGGGTCCTCTGAATGCCCCCACACTCCCCATCTCGGCCTGCGCTCCGCCCCTCGGAATTCCCGGCTCCACAGGGGGGCGGGTCTGGCACGGAGAAGGGGCGGGCGAAACCGGCTAGAAAGTTTGCTGTAACTTTTCTGGAGCCTTCAGTCCCTGGAACGGATGCGCGTGGCCCGCGCAGGCGCACTAGGAGGAGGATGGACGCGCGCGCGGCGGGTGCTGCCCACTTCTTCCCAGCGAGCGGGTGGCACAGCTGGGCCACAGCTGGACAACGGGCGGTGTCTTGGGGGTGGGTTGCCCGTTTGCCTCTTCCTATTGGTTAAGTTCTGAGGCCACGCCCCCGAACGTCCACCCACGTCTCTGATTCGTCCGCCTCGGCTAGTCCCCGGCAGGCCATTGGCCACTTCCGCTCGCCTTCTGATTGGCCCACCGAGCAACCTCTTTCCCGCAAAGCAAACAGCAGAAACCGGGGAGTTCAGAGCTTGGGGCAGACAAGGGAGCCTTTTATTCACAAGGGTCGGGGGTGGGGTTCCTAGGTGGGGAGAGACAATAAATACCGAGGAAGGTCGGGGTTTCAGTGCATCCAAAACGTGGATTAGGGTGCTAGGGTCCTGGAGCCTTCAGCTAGTCGGGGGATAGGTCAATAAATACCCAAACCGCCGAGGCGGGAGGAGCCGGCAGAGGCTCCGAGAGCAGCGCACGTGAGGAGGGTGCGGGAGGCCCCGAAAAAGCGGGGCTAATACAAGCGAACGGTTCCCGAGAGCAGCGGGGCTCGCGCTAGACATTCTCTCGCAGAGAACGAGCGAGCAGGGCTTCATGCACAAGGGTTGGTGGTTTTCGAGCCGATGTGGGTGGGGTGCGTGGAGGGTGAAAAACAGATGGCCGACCTCTGGCTCTGCTGCCTTCTCTCGATCGCAGTTTGGCGATCCGCGTCGTGGCCTCCGCCAGGCTGGAGGAAGTGGTCCGCGTTCCACCCACAGCACCACTTCGGGTTACAGGCCTCCTGTGAGCCCCGCGCTCCCGCCTCGGGCCCGGCTCCTCCCTCCCCGGCCGCCAGGGGGCGGGCCGGAGCACAAGGG